CTTGCCCAAGCCGCCATCAGTTCTCCCCTGGCTGCCTGCGCTCCTGACTCCACTCAGCTCTACATTCTCCGGAGCCGCTGGGATGCAAACGTGTACATTTCTAGAGAGCAGGTTCATGTTTGCAGGGGGCTCTCTTTGGATGACTCCGGCAGATTCACCCTGGACTTCTAGATTAACGCTCCTCATTCTTCAGTTACTTCATTAGAAAAAGGCTGGGAAGCCCTGGCTTATATTATAGCCTGTTGTTAGATTATTACAAACTTTCAAATTTTTACCCAAATACTTGCAGTATTTAAAAATCAAATATGCCAGACGTGGTGGCTTGCGCCTGTAATCCCAGCACTTTGGGAGGCTGTGGCAGGAGGATTGCTTGAGCCCAGGAGTTGGAGCCCAGCCTGGGCAACATGGTGAAACCCTGTCTCTACTAAAAATACAAAAAAAATTACCCAGGTGTGGTGGCGCACACCTGCAATCCCAGCTCCTTGGGAAGCTGAGGCAGAAGAATTGCTTGAACCTGGGAGGCAGAGGTTGCAGTGAGCTGAGATCACACCACCGCACTCCAGCCTGGGTGAAAGAGCAAGTTTCCGTACCCCCCGTCCCCCACAAAAAAAATCATGAAATTCCCTATTTCACCTAGCCTTTTTTAGGGAAAGCAACTAATATATTTCTTGTAAACTAGGGGGTTGAAGTTGAATTATCTTCATCTTAGTTTCTGCTGAGACCCCCCCCAAGGCATGGTCCATGGGCCAAATGCCACAGAGAGGAGCAGGACCAGCAGCTACCTGGACTGTGACACCAGGTGGTCTCAAGCGAGCTCACGTTCCTGCTGGGAATGTCGTCTATAAAGAAGCTGGAAGTTCGAGGATGAGTTTCAGAGGCCACTGAGAAGCTATGAATCTTACCACCCACGGAGGAAGGTGGTGGGGTTTCTGCTTCACCTCGAACCAACAGAAGACAGTGTGTAGAGGGGAGGCCCTGAGAGTCAGGAGCCAAAGATAGACAGGCCTGGCCAGAGGGAGCACATCCTCCAAAGTGAGGGAGCTGCCAACAGAAGAGGGCAGGGGACATGCCTGTGAAAGCTCAGGAGAATGCACCACGGCCGAAGTCAGTTCACAGCAGTTATCGGCGAATGATGAACTGCTCCCCACCTCATGCCCCTCTGAGCAACTTGGGCAAAAGAGTGACAGCACCAGGTGGACAAATAAAATAAGGCTGAGGCCAAACATAAGCTGCTCTCCCTCTGCAGAGAGCGAGGTTCCCTGTGGGCCCACAGTGAAAGGGGCGGCCTCTCTCCAAATGCAGCTCGAAGGACTCAAAGAACTTGTTCCTGTGCAGGGCGGGGACTCCATCTGCCCAGGGCACGGCTTGCCCTACATATCACCTAGGGACAGCAGGAGAACAAGCCCTAGAGCAAACTTAGACAGTGGGAGACCAAAATAAAGGTGCTTTGGATTGGATTGAGCTTGTTCATAGCAGTAGGACTAGCATTTTGAACATCTTCTGCAATTGTGTTATTTGCCTTCTCAACCTGAATACATAATTGATCAGCTTAAGTTCACCGACAGTGGGGTACGCTTACTAATTTGATGGATTCGGTGACCTAGTGATTTCTACCTGCTGTGATGATGGAATCTGAGACCTCCATTTCTCAGTTTTTCTTTTTCTGGTAATTTGGGAGAGACAGACGGGAATTTGGTATGCAAAGGTGGCTTTTAGGATTCTCAATGAAAAAGTGCCAATAAGCAGTGTCTCAGAGTCAAACTTATGAAAGGGGAGAAAACCTATAATCCTTGGAGCATTTTTAATTTTTGGAGAAACGGCAATACCAGCTCACAGAGGAGGATCAGAATTCCAGGGAGCCGTGGCCAGGACTGAGGCGGAGGAATGAATGCTGATGGGAGACGGCAGCTGACGGGACCTCCCGAGAAGCAGCCACTTCCCTGAAATGCGGGCCCTGCTCACGGATCCCAGGCGAAAGCTGCACCTGAGAGGGCAGAAATCATACTTGGAGGAAATCAGAACTGGGTGGCCTCTGAGGAGTGGGCTGGGCTGACTGGGAAGCAGAAGCAGCTTTCCTGAAAGGGCTCTGAGGTTACACAGGGGTCACATTTGTCACTTTGAAGATTTGTGCATTTTGCTGTATGTAAATCTTACCCATCCTCCAAAAACAGTAAACGAGTAATGATAGTACACCTTTGGGAAGTGGTTGGGGCAGGTACTGCCTGCAATATACTTAGAATGCATAAAAATAAGTTAGGATGGAAGAATGAAGTTATGTTATAGAAACAAGCAAATGGATAACTGTAGAATTGAGATGAAAGATATTACATA